CTGCAGCTTCTGACGCACACTGCAACTTCTAACGCGCACTGCAGCTTCTCATTATCCCGAGTTCAGTTCAATTTACCTGGGTTATTTACGATGAAGCACACTGCCACCAACACCAGAGGTCGACGGATGACATGAGTTTAGTGTGCTGTCTTGCCCCTGCTTCATTCATACATGTAGTATACTTAAGGGGAAGCGCTAAACCCGTAAGATTCACAACGCATGGGAAAGGTTGCGTAATGGGAGGTAATCATATTTGTTTCAAGGTTGTTGGATCAAAGTCCTTCACTAGCGCTAGGTGTGATTTAGGCATTTAAATGTTTTGTAAAGCAAGTGAAATATAAACTAATACATTATACATTTTGCCTCAAAAAAATTGAATGGTAACACATTGTTGTTCTTGTTGTTGTTTTAAAAAAATCGTGTGGGTCACAACTCAAGGTCGTCAGTATATGTAAATCAGTCGTAGGATGCAGTGGTGACACTTCTGTGTATATATTTCAAAAAATTCCTCCGAGAAACGAGATTACTGGGCAGTACCACTCATGACTGTACTGGGCAGTACCACTCATGACTGTACTGGGCAGTACCACTCATGACTGTACTGGGCAGTACCACTCATGACTGTACTGGGCAGTACCACTCATGACTGTACTGGGCAGTACCACTCATGACTGTACTGGGCAGTACCACTCATGACTGTAATGGGCAGTACCACTCATGACTGTACTGGGTAGTACCACTCATGACTGTACTGGGCAGTACCACTCATGACTGTACTGGGCAGTACCACTCATGACTGTACTGGGCAGTGCCACTCATGACTGTACTGGGCAGTACCACTCATGACTGTACTGGGCAGTGCCACTCATGACTGTACTGGGTAGTACCACTCATGACTGTAATGGGCAGTACCACTCATGACTGTAATGGGCAGTACCACTCATGACTGTACTGGGTAGTACCACTCATGACTGTACTGGGCAGTACCACTCATGACTGTACTGGGCAGTACCACTCATGACTGTACTGGGCAGTGCCACTCATGACTGTACTGGGCAGTACCACTCATGACTGTACTGGGCAGTACCACTTATCCTGTGAGTGAATATACTATGCAGGCAGCACATTTCAACCCAAGTAAGCGACATATCGCTGGTGATATCAACTTGGCTGATACAATAGTAGGATATCACTGCCATTACAGATATTAATATCTGCATATTATTTTTTGCAAAATAAATCTAACGGATTTATTTCATAAGTGTTTGTAATATAAAGTCTATAATAGTATGGTTGTAATCTATGTAAGATAGTGTCGGAATGTAAATTAATACTGTCGCTGGAACAATTCTTGGACGACCAATTTAAAATATGTATATTATATTATCTATGGAGGCAAAGAAGGGAATGTATGAAAGTATAGTAGTACCAACACTCTTATGTGGGTGTGAAGCTTGGGTGGTAAATGCAGCAGCGAGGAGGCGGTTGGAGGCAGTGGAGATGTCCTGTCTAAGGGCAATGTGTGGTGTAAATATTATGCAAAAAATTCGGAGTGTGGAAATTAGAAGAAGGTGTGGAGTTAATAAAAGTATTAGAGGGCTGAAGAGGGGTTGTTGAGGTGGTTTGGTCATTTAGAGGGAATGGATCAAAGTAGAATGACATGGAGAGCATTTAAATCTGTAGGAGAAGGAAGGCGGGGTAGGGGTCGTCCTCGAAAAGGTTGGAAGGAAGGGGTAAGGGAGGTTTTGTGGGCGAGGGGCTTGGACTTCCAGCAGGCGTGCATGAGCGTGTTCGATAGGAGTGAATGGAGACTAATGGTATTTGGGACCTGGCGATCTGTTGGAGTGTGAACAGGGTAATACTTAATGAAGGGATTCAGGGAAACCGGTTATTTTTATATAGCCGGACTTGAGTCCTGGAAATGGAAAGTACAATGCCTGCACTCTAAAGGAGGTGTTCGGGATATTAGCAGTTTGGAGGGATATGTTGTATATCTTTATACGTATATGCTTCTAAACTGTTGTGTTCTGAGCACCTCTGCAAAAACAGCGATTATGTGTGAGTGAGGTGAAAGTGCTGAATGATGAAAGTATTTTCTTTTTGGGGATTTTCTTTCTTTTTTGGGTCACCCTGCCTCGGTGGGAGACGGCCGACTTGTTATATATATATATATATATATATATATATATATATATATATATATATATATATATATATATATATATATATATATATATATATGCAAAACAACCACTCTGAAAGAATAGAGAAATTCCAAGCGCTTTCGTGACTACTCACATTATCAAGGAACTATGAAAATAAAGCATCCAAGGAAGCTATATAAGGGGTCTGGCCAACACCTCACTATCAGATCCCACAACGGTTAAACACCTGACGCGTGCCGACCCAACTGGATAGGTCCTTTGCACAACTCACCCACAAACTATTCTACCCAAGAAAATTAAAAAAATATTATTTGTCCAGTGTATTATTAAATTCTTCCCAAATTCTATTAATTATAAATGGATCTAATTTATATAAACCAAAGGAAATATTCATATTATTGTCCAAACTTCTTAAGACTTTTAATATTAAAGTTGTATTCAAAAATCTTGATACAGTAAAAAAACTTTTGATAAAAAATTCCCCTCAAAATGCTGATGGATGTGTCTATAAGATTCCTTGTAAAATTTGCGATGAAGTTTATTACGGTCAAACTGGTAAAAATCTCGAACTAAGATTAAAACAACATAAATATAGCATTAGAACTGGACAAGATTCCAATGCTCTATTTATTCATGCTGTATAGTCCTTGTGGCTTAGCGCTTCTTTTTGATTATAATAATAATATTTATTCATGTAAGAGATTTTAACCATCCAATTGATTTTCAAAAAGTTGAGAAAGTAGTATCAAGCAAGTCCATGGTCGACAGAAATATAATTGAATCTTGTTTCATAAAAAGCAGTTTTGACAATAATATGAATATTTTCTTTGGTTTATATAAATTAGATCCATTTATAATTAATAGAATTTGGGAAGAATTTAATAATACACTGGACAAATAATTTCTAAATTTTCTTGGGTAGAATAGTTTGTGGGTGAGTTGTGCAAAGGACCTATCCAGTTGGGTCGGCGCGCGTCAGGTGTTTAACCGTTGTGGGATCTGATAGTGAGGTGTTGGCCAGACCCCTTATATAGCTTCCTTGGATGCTTTACTTTCATAGTTCCTTGATAATATGAGTAGTCACGAAAGCGCTTGGAATTTCTCTATTCTTTCAGAGTGGTTGTTTTGCATATTCTGAAATCACCTGTTTACTGTGATCTTATTGCATATATATATATATATATATATATATATATATATATATATATATATATATATATATAATATATATATATATTATATATATAATTATATTTACATATATATATATTATATATATATATTATATATATATATATATATATATTATATATATATATATATATATATGTATATGTATATAAAAGTGCATGTATACGTGTATGAGGTTCAGAATAGACTGAAACGTTATCTATTTTTTTCTCTAAATTGTGGGTTGGTTGTGAAGTGTCTTGAGTGTATTTATCCTCCTCTCAACACACTTGACACTGTCTTTCCTCTCTTAAGAGTTGCTAAACTAACCTCCCACATTAAAGGTAACCTCAACCTCCTTAGCCACCAGCTTCGCTACTCTTCTGTATCCACTCCTCTTGTGTACAAAGACGGTGTGAAGCTGTTATAGAGAAGCCGGATATAGTGGTAGTTGCTGCTGCTGGGTTGGTCCTCAAGTGGACCCGACCATCCCACCTTCCTAATGGTAAATTCTCTTTTTAGCTTGTTTTGTTTTTCTAACCCACCAGCTCGAAAGATTAATCATCTGTAATGATCTTCTCTTACTGTGTAATTTTTAAACATCACGAGGACTCGCCACAGGTATCCACCGAAGCTGAAGTTATGTAAGAAAGTAATACTATTTTTTAGGTATGACCTGTGTGTCGACGTGATTTAACTGGATACAGTGACACCAGTTGCTGGGAAACAGTGAACGCTTTAGCATGGCGTGAGAAAGCACTTTGTTGATCTCTTGAAACCAGCATTCTTGTTGCAGAGTTCAGTGGCAATTAGGCCCCAAGTTTATACAATCCAAGGAGAAATATTCTTAAGTGTTTACTTGGGAGTGATACCTAGTGTGGAGAGTCGTGACTGGAGTGAGCTGTAGTGAAGGCAAGGATACACTTAACTTTGCAGAAGTAAAATGTTTTTAAACCGTAAATAATGAGTTGCAGAAGATACTGACGTAGTGCTAAATACTTGTAATGTTGTGTTTAGTAGTCCTTGTGTAGCTTGTTCTGCTGTATTTCCCAAGATAGCAGTATTTTAGAGATGTAGTTGCATGAAAATTGAAATGTATTATTAGTGCCTTAGTGGTAACATGTCATGTAACACAGGTATTACAGTTGGGCACTTTTATACAATTGTTTATCGCTGAGAGGAGTGGTAAGTTGGTAAACGGTATCTAGCCAGGGACACTCACCTTTTACATGTGAAATAAAATCTGTTAACCAGTATTTAAGATAACAGACATAATTTCGCAGATTTATGTATACATTTATTATATATTTATCTTCACTTTATTGTTTCTTAATAGTTATTATCTTTGAGGCTTGGTCTGAAACCCGGCCTCGGAAGTTATGATCCACAGCCTTGATACCGGTGAGGGGGTTCTTGATGCAAGGAATTGGACCTTTCCTTTTCCTTGGATCGAAACTGATTGCGTTCAGTTCCCCAATGTACACTAAGACCTTCCTCGTCCAAGAACGAAATAATCATACTAGCAGGACCAAAATCTTGCACTGTGACCGTAGTGGGTGTGGGGTGAAGGCTTGGCAGCTGGTACACTGCCACGACATACTTAACACTGTATTTAGTTACAGTCAAGCAGTAGATGTATAGCAGAGTTCTCTTGTGGTATTACAGGTCAGATGAGGAGGAGAGTTCCGGGTCCAAGTATGGCAGGATGGAGTCAGCCGACGATAACATGCAGGACAAGGAGCGATTTGCCAGGTAAGAAGAATTTGCTGGTTTCTCAACATAAATCACAAAGATGATGGCTATAGTAGCTAAGCTCTCTCATCGGAATAGTTTTATTGTGTGACAAAGTCACATATTTAAGCACTCCTCCACCCCCTTTCCTTCCTCACCTCCGCCTTTACCACCACCACCACCACCACTACTACCTACTACCTCCACCTTCCACCACTACCCTCCGATTCACCACAATCACCAACACCTTAGCCACCCACCATCACCATCGCCACCACCACACTTGTAGCAGCTTCTGCTGAAAACTCATGCACTCACAAGTATAACACGCAGCATGGCCGGCCCCTCTAGCTTGGTCTAAAGACACCTGGGCTTGGGATGTATCTTTCTAACTTTCTAACTTTCACACCCAGGAGACAGACTGTGTGTGTGTGTGTGTGTGTGTGTGTGTGTGTGTGTGTGTGTGTGTGTGTGTGTGTGTGTGTGTGTGTGTGTGTGTGTGTGCGCGCGCGCGCGCGCGCGCCCGTGCGTGGGTGTACGTACTCTCCTATATGTAGTTGCAGGGGTCGAGTGATGTGTATGTGTAATTGAGCTATCAGGTGGCTAGCTCTAGCTCTTGGGCCCTCTTAAATTTCGATGACGACGTGAATTAGCAGTATTGTAACTAGAAGATCCATGTTTGGAATTCGCTTCTGTTGTGTAACTATTTACTTCGTTGCACTTCGTTCCCATGTATCCTGAAGAAAAAGTTTACCACTCATTTATGTTTGCAGTGGTCCAGATATATATATATATATATATATATATATATATATATATTTTATATATATATATATATATATTAATATAAAATCGTGCCGAATAGGTAAAACTTAGAGATACTGGCTTAAATAGCAACGCTCTTCTTACTGAATAAGGCAAGCGAAAATTTGTGTATGCAATAATTTCGCAAAAATCATTCTGAACTTAAAAAATATATATTTCATTGTGTTTATTAAATTTTTGTAAAGTTATCTAAAATATATTTAGTTGAATTAAGCTAAATTAAATTGCGCTTGTTACATTAAGGTAATTTTCCTAAGGTTCATTTGGTACAAAATTATTAATTTTTAAATTAACATAAATTAAAAAAATGTATCTTTAAACGTATAAAAGAAAATTTTTGAGAGGGCTTAATTTTAAATGAGTTCTTGCTAATTGACCAGTTTCACCTATTCGGCACGACATATATATTATGCAGAGGATGCTTTTATCGTGGTAATGTTTCACTATATGTAAAGTCTTATCACAGTTTGGTAAAACCTTGCAAAAAGCTGAACGTTGTCACTATCAAAGTTTATCTGCATGTCTTACGTCATCGTAACCCATCCTTACTAAAACTGACATAAAAAGATTAATTTACCTAACCTATTAAAGAGTTTAACTGTAGTTAACTGTTTCCTGGGAAGGAAGAGAAACAAATTTTAATGTAGTCTTGAGGGTCTTTCGTGTCTGAGGCCCAAGACTGTTCAGCAGTCTTCCACCAGGCATAAGGGGAATTGTCAATAGAGCACTGGCTACCTTCAAGAGGGAACTGGACAGATACCTAAAGTTTGTTCCTGATCAATTCGATCAGCCGGGCTGTGGTCCGTACGTTGAATTGCATACTGCCAGCAGTATCAGCTTGGTTGATCAGACACTGATCCACCGGGAGGCCTGGTCAAGAACTGGGCCGCGGGTGTGTTGACCCTCGGGTCGACCTCTTGTTAGACACACGAGCTTCATGCCGGAACCTCATGCTCTAAGGTAGGCCTAATGCATGATGTCTATGTCTTAACAATTTCTGTTTAGATTCCGAAAATACTTAAGTTGGCAAGTTTAGATTCTGGAAGCACTTAGGTTGGTTAGTTTATATTCCTGGAAACACTTAGGTTGGCAAGTTTATATTCCTGGAAACACTTAGGTTAGCAAATTTATATTCCTGGAAGCACATAGGCGGGCAAGTTTTTATTCCCGGAAGCACATAGGCTGGCAAGTTTATATTTCTGGAAGCACATAGGCTGGCAAGTTTATATTCCTGGAAGCATATAGACTGGCAAGTTTATATTCCTGGAGGCATATAGACTGGCAAGTTTATATTCCTGGAAGCACTTAGGTTAGCTTCTCTCACTCCATTTTCAAATTTTTCCTTTATTCTTCAGTGAATATATCTTTGAATACTCTGAGTTTTGCACATAGTGCTTTCTTAGTTCTCCATATGCGTAATCTTCTTTGTGCATGTTTGCATAGGGCGTGGTGTGTGTGTGTGTGTGTGTGTGTACTCACCTAGTTGTACTCACCTAGTTGAGGTTGCGGGGGTCGAGTCCGAGCTCCTGGCCCCGCCTCTTCACTGATCGCTACTAGGTCACTCTCCCTGAGCCGTGAGCTTTATCATACCTCTGCTTAAAGCTATGTATGGATCCTGCCTCCACTACATCGCTTCCCAAACTATTCCACTTACTGACTACTCTGTGGCTGAAGAAATACTTCCTAACATCCCTGTGATTCATCTGTGTCTTCAGCTTCCAACTGTGTCCCCTTGTTACTGTGTCCAATCTCTGGAACATCCTGTCTTTGTCCACCTTGTAAATTCCTCTCAGTATTTTGTATGTCGTTATCATGTCCCCCCTATCTCTCCTATCCTCCAGTGTCGTCAGGTTGATTTCCCTTAACCTCTCCTCGTAGGACATACCTCTTAGCTCTGGGACTAGTCTTGTTGCAAACCTTTGCACTTTCTCTAGTTTCTTTACGTGCTTGGCTAGGTGTGGGTTCCAAACTGGTGCCGCATACTCCAATATGGGCCTAACGTATACGGTGTACAGGGTCCTGAACGATTCCTTATTAAGATGTCGGAATGCTGTTCTGAGGTTTGCTAGGCGCCCATATGCTGCAGCAGTTATTTGGTTGATGTGCGCTTCAGGAGATGTGCCTGGTGTTATACTCACCCCAAGATCTTTTTCCTTGAGTGAGGTTTGTAGTCTCTGACCCCCTAGACTGTAACTCCGTCTGCTGCCTTCTTTCCCCTTCCCCAATCTTCATGACTTTGCACTTGGTGGGATTGAACTCCAGGAGCCAATTGCTGGACCAGGTCTGCAGCCTGTCCAGATCCCTTTGTAGTTCTGCCTGGTCTTCAATCGAGTGTATTCTTCTCATCAACTTCACGTCATCTGCAAACAGGGACACCTCAGAGTCTATTCCTTCCGTCATGTCGTTCACAAATACCAGAAACAGCACTGGTCCTAGGACTGACCCCTGCGGGACTCCGCTGGTCACAGGTGCCCACTCTGACACCTCGCCACGTACCATGACTCGCTGCTGTCTTCCTGACAAGTATTCCCTGATCCATTGTAGTGCCTTCCCTGTTATCCCTGCTTGGTCCTCCAGTTTTTGCACCAATCTCTTGTGTGGAACTGTGTCAAACGCCTTCTTGCAGTCCAAGAAAATGCAATCCACCCACCCCCCTCTCTCTCTTGTCTTACTGCTGTCACCATGTCATAGAACTCCAGTAGGTTTGTGACACAGGATTTCCCGTCCCTGAAACCATGCTGGCTGCTGTTGATGAGATCATTCCTTTCTAGGTGTTCCACCACTCTTCTCCTGATAATCTTCTCCATGATTTTGCATACTATACATGTCAGTGACACTGGTCTGTAGTTTAATGCTTCATGTCTGTCTCCTTTTTTAAAGATTGGGACTACATTTGCTGTCTTCCATGCCTCAGGCAATCTCCCTGTTTCGATAGATGTATTGAATATTGTTGTTAGGGGTACACATACGCCGCCGTGTGTGGTGTGTGTGTGGTGTGTGTGTGTGTGTGTGTGTGTGTGTGTGTGTGTGAGTGTGTGTGTGTGAGTGTGTGTGTGTGAGTGTGTGTGTGTGAGTGTGTGTGAGTGTGTGTGTGTGTGTGTGTGTGTGTGTGTGTGTGTGTGTGTGTGTGTGTGTGTGTGTGTGTGTGTGTGTGTGTGTGTGCTCAATGTGGCACTCTACCACCCTCTCACTCTTCTCCCCACCACCACCCACTTGCATTCCTCGAGCACGTCCCTTTAATTGAACCCCCTTATATATGTTTTTCCACAAACTCCTCCCTCAGTATCCTCTAAAATAAATCGGACAACAAAACATGGTTTTTAAACGTTAAGAAAAAATCTGAGAGTAGCATTTAAATGCACGGTCACCTATATTTATTAGAAAGTATTTCGGTTCTGATCTTGATTACTTCTAACCACTAGGACATATTTGTTAGAAAACGTTTCGGTCCTGGGACCTTGATCACTTAGAAGTGATTAAGGTCCCATGCCCGAAACGTTTTCTAGTTAGAGGGTCACCTATAAATGGATTTATGAGAGAGAATAGAAAAGTCCTACGGAGTCTAAACTCGCACAGTATAACAAATCAGATTTTCAAGATGCGAGAAGAATAGTAAAACAAAGGTGAAGGGGCAGTGATCAGAAACTCTTAGAGATTTTAATACTTTGGAAACGTGGTCAGGGTAATATCCAGAGTCACGAAGGTAAATAGTTGCCGTACTGTGTAATCCTGTTCCGTTAGGTTAGCTAAGATTCGTCAGGAAGCAGGACAAGCGTTTCCGGAGGCTGATCTTAATCATACTATCACTCACCACTAGAGCTTTTGGTCATCAAACTTAGACCTTCCACTGACTTACCCGTCCAACCCTTTAAAATTTAATTATGTAATCCACGCTTAATGCAGTCTCGTCTCTCTCATTAGAAACTGTAAAGTGAACCAACGCTATAATGGTACAAGTAGTTTAAGCCATAAGGATTTGACGGGGAGTATTAATCCTTTTAACGGGGGCGGAACTTGAAGCTAGTACGATTTAGGCATAGTAATACGTTTGAAAAGTACAAAACGGCGTTTTTAAACATCTAAACCGGCGATCATACATGCAAGAGAAGGGAGAGGGGAAGGGAGAGAGAGAGGGAGAGAGAGGGAAAGGAGAGGGGAGAGAGAGGGGGAGAGAGGGGGAGAAGAGAGGGGGAGAG